CCCGCCCTTAGTGTTTTTAGGTTATGTAGCTTTTATAATTGTCCATCCATGATTATCCCTAATATTTCGAACATTATAGTTTGATATTAAATAAGATTATTTATTAATCTTTGACTTAAGTCAACAGGGTCATCTCATTTCTGACTGCACGGATGGCGTAGTGGTTAAAGAGGTCACCTCGCAGCTTACTACTGCGCTGAGTGTTGTGGGTCCATCCACTTTGTGTGATCTACAAATTGTTGTTCTGAGTCTAGGTGTTATTAGTGTCCGATTCCATGTACGTTTGTAATGTCCTCCGCGACACAGGATATATTCCTAGTGCGGGAGTTGTCTTTAAAAGAAAAATCTCTGTTTTTCTCGTGTCTTGATTTTATTCGATATTATTATTTTATATCCCATTGACGTTTGAAAGTACACTACAAATAACAAGGCCAACTCAATAAAGAAAGTTTGAGTTTACATCATTTACGATTTTTGCATAAGAGCACAACATACGTTTACCATTCACATTGAAAATTTATATTGAAATGTAATCATTTCTGTGAAAGTGTTCGAGTACCATATAATTATAAATGTACTTAAATATTTAGTCACGAACAAATTATTCGCTCATTAAGTAATTACATTCAAAAAAGGAATGTTTTTCACAACTCCGTCGTAAGTTATTCATTTTAAGTAATTAGGTAACGTAAATATGTAACGACAGCATGATTTACTATTATCAATTAATTTTATTAATAAATAACGAAAATTAGGTAAGGTTGATATTTTATGTATTTTACAATAATCTAAACATTGCTATTTACAGTCATCTATAAGTAAAGCTCTATATCCACAGCCTTTACTAGTCCACTGCTGGACATAGACCTCTTCATAGAAAGGAGGTTTTGGGGCACTATACCACGCTGGTTGGTATATGGTTTGTTTCAAGTTTTCATCTCTTTGCAGTGCTGTTGTCCTGCGTAGTTTGCTCCCTTAGTCGGCTCATACGACACCCACGGGATGACTAGGGGGGGTGACACTATGTATTCTTAATCCGTCACCACACGGAAGGAACGGAACACACACATACACGAAAGTAGAGATCTATTACTATTTATAGTTTTCATTGAAGACACTGGTGCCAATTCGGTTGTTCGAACTCTCTAAAATAAACTAAAAATTACAAAAAGATAGTTTAGTTCTGTCCAGTACTAGGTTTTCAGAATACGAAACGTTATTTGACAGGACTAAACAGATTTTTACTGTATTAAGTTTTTATCCGTTTTTCAGAGTTCAATGTTTTAAATCTACAATTTTACTCAAGGACGGCGCAAAGTGTATTTTTTGCAAAAAGTTTTGTCTAGTTTCTTTCATTGCCGGCCCCCTACCTGATATCCACGTTGAGAAATCAATCGTTTTTAGTCAAGAAAATGTAGTAAGTAAAATTTTGTAAATAAGTAGGTAAGTAAAATGTTGTGAGAAACGGATATAGTGAGGTACGGGAACTAGGTAAAGGATACTACAATTAGTTTTTGATGGGGGAACGGGACTAGGACTAGGACTGTGATTGGAGGGTCCTCTAAGACAGGGAACAACTCAACTGGCCATGGAGGTTTAAATATACAAATAGCTATACTTTGTTACGCTTTCACGCCTAAACCACTGGTACAATTTAAAAAATTTGTTTACCAATGGAAAGTTACATTATCAGCGAATAACATAGCTTACTTTTTAACGCGATAAGTAAACGATACATACGGGCGGAGTCGAGGAAAAAAGATAGTGATAAATAAATATTAAATATAATATAATGTAATAGTATATTTGATAAGAATTCAGAATAAGTTATCCTATTAGGAAAGAGTAGAAAGTTTCTTATCGAGAAACAGCTAAAAATGAGTCTCGTGTCATTAAATTCTCATTTACTTCAAAACATTGATAACATAAAAAAAGGCGAGATAACAAACCATTTATTTTTAACTTCATTTTTTATTTCATCTAGAAAACTGATACATAGATTATGTAGAAATAGATTGTAAGTTCGTATGTGTATGATAAGGAAAAACAATAATGTCGTTTTAATAACAACAAGTATCTGCATTTACAACAAATAATAGAAGCTAAAACATTACAAGACATTAATTTGTTAATGCAATACAATACAACAATTTAATTATCAAAACTAACCTACATTTGAACTAGCTGCTTTGTGCTGACGACGTGTGTAATATATAGGGTTACGATGTTTACGTCTTTATAATTAAGTTTTAATAAGCTAAATTGTTAAAAATATACTATTTTGGCGCTTCTCGTTATCGTAAAAATAGTAGGTTTCATCTTTCATCACTTCATAAATGAGTTGATATTTATTTTTGACATATTAGTAATCTTGACGCTGACCGTCACTTCATTCTGTAGATTTTGTTAATTAACTCAGAAGTATTTCAAGAACAGTTTTTCGGGATCGGACCTTTTCTATAGGTAATAATTTATGCAAAATATTGCTATTAACGGTAAGGCAGTTATGCGTTATCGCATTTTCAATACTAGTAGTAGGCTTACGTTTTTTAATATTGCTTTATAAGTATTATAACCTTTTTACCTCAGTAGGTACCGTTAGTATAAAATTAAATAGATTCAGTTTACGATGAGTAGATATTGTCTATTCTTAGTATTCCATTGATTTAGTTAGTCACGATTTTCTGAGCGCCAGCTGCCAATATACAGAAAAGTAACTACACTCATTGTAGAAATCTGTAAAACTGAATCTAGAGCAAGCTGTTTTTTGTCCAAATTATATTACGATCAATTACGAACTTTACAGGTGAAGAACTATCAAATACGCAGATATATTCATGGCAGGTTTTGTTTTCAAATAAGTCTCTTTGTGTTAAATCTAATGTCACTGTTGATTTTACTGGTTACACAAGAGTCAGAGCAATTTATTCAGACCTTGCCTTGATTCAAGAGGAACTAAAGCTATGTAGTGCCTTCTCAGCAACACCAACACTAAATAAGTACAATCATGGTCACTCAATAAAGAGTAATTTCAATGAGTGCACCGCTAAAATTCGCACCCGTCAGCTGCTTGCCGCATGATGTCATCGACGTACGAGTTCGCGCTCATGGCGATCACCTTGCGTAAAACATCTTGTGAGTAATAGCTTGTATTTTATATGATAACGTTTCTAAACAAAACAGTAATTCAATTGATACTAAAATACTATTCAATAAACGTAATTCATAATGACATCTTTTAAAAATGTATTTGCCATAGACAACTATTCGACATTTCGACAACTTCGCAATCGAACCATAGGTATTTTACCGAAAACCCGTAAACTGACGTTTCATTTAACTTTTTTTGACATGTCTTTTTAAAAAAGGAATGCTTTGAAAAGACAAATAAAAAAATAGACATAATAGGCTAGACATAATTTAATATTTACTTTGTAGTGTCTCTGTTGCTATTGTTTAGAATAATGACGTCAGAAAGCGTCTGAGAACTCATGTTTATGCATATTTATAAGTATAATACTCACGCATGCGTACAAGATCCTGACTAAATATGTAGTAATTTATAAAAATATACTACATTTTTTGACAAGTATTATTTAAGTCTAATAGTATTTTTGTACACTAGCTTTTAAAACCCCGTTGCTGAATGTTGAACTATGGTTGTAAGAGGTGTACATGATTCTCGTGACCACGGACTATGTTCGAGACGGTAACAAAATTAAAGTCGATATTATCCGTGAAGTTCCTTACTGCTCATATTGAATAGGTATTGTACCTATCTGAATATAAGACTAACCTTCTTACATGATACTTGAGAGAACAAAAATAAATTTATCTATTAAACACGATGTTTTGGGCTTTAATTAAAAAAAAAAATTAGTACACCCACAAAGGTATTTTGAATATTTTTGAAACTATTACATTTAATGCTTTTTTGTTTAAGAGATACGTAAGAGAAGTTTAGCAAAACTCTACAATGTTTCATAATAAATAATTACAAGCTTATAATAACAAATATTTTAAAAGTAATAACAACTCATGCAAGGAACGTAAAACTTATAAGTTTGATCTACATTAGTACAAGATAAACGCTAAACTATCAGGCGATAGGTTGGCTACACAGCAAGATTGACTTTTAAACCGTTAACAGGTGAAATCAATGGCATGGCGCCATTTATTTTATTTTATGTGTCGATCGTATATGCTTCTAATTACACCACTTAACTAAAATCACAATAACAATTTTATGTAAATACAAACCTATATTTTTTTTATTTGCCTGTAAGTCTGTTGGATCGGGCATATTTATACGAACAACAACACAAAAAAAGGACTTTTACTGGCAGATAGCTAAAGGAACAGTTAATCAGGCATTTTGGGTAAATCGAATTTTCTAATATAATTAAGTATTTATATAACCGCTAAGTTAGCCGCCTGCCTTGGACGTTATTTTATTACTTATGTAATTCCATTTTTATGTTTTGTTCCTTTCTGTTTAAATAATTCCGGTATCATAAAGTTTTCAACTACGAGGTCGACTTTAGCAATAAATTAAAATATTTTATCTCTAGATATATATAGGAATGGCATTGCTTCTAAACCTGATTGATGACATCAGACTTTAAACAAACAAATCATAGCTTATGTTGTAAGAAATATGTTTAAAAGACTGTAGATTATAAAAACTTATCGCCAATAAACTTTAAGACCTTACTTTTTGAACGGAAACTAACACTAAACTATTTTGTAATTTAGCAAACACTTGTTTAAACAAATACTCATTCACACGGCTGCCTTACGCTTCTGCCAACTAACTCATGTAAAAATATCTGCTAAATTTTATGTAAATAGTGACCAATATCTTAATAGCTATAGAAATAAACATGTTCTCATCGTTTAAATGATAATCATAGACAAGAATAAAATAAATGCGCGCGAAAACCCATAAAGTCAAGACACTTTTTTTAAAATTAGATATGATAACCAAAATGAATACTTACATTTTTCTATCGCCGTCAACATGCGCCTGAACCGTAAATCCAAACATAGAATTCTGACTACCCTTATAAACCACCCTTGATGGTATATCTACGTTAAACCCTAACGCACTAGTGCAAGCGCACAAAAATACACACAAAGCTAACGCCATTGTCAATTACACAATCCTCACAAACACAGTAAAATACTAAATAAATATTATCGCACACTATTTTAAATTTACATAATTCGTCCTCATGTCGTTCGAATAACTTTACGATCGTTTATCGTGGCGAGCGGCAGCACGTAGTCTCCGTGCGGCGTTCGATACTGAACTGAATACCTGACAGTTGTATAGGTCTGGCAAAGGAGACAAGGCCGCGTTATGAAGTAATGCTTTTAAGAATAAATCGGAATCGTGATGACTTTTCGCGGGTTTTCTTGGTAACATGAGTTACGTTCGAAACGTAAGCGTATTTTTGTTTATGCGTTGGATAAATCGGTCATGGTTCTTTCAATAGGAGGAATAATAGAAGGTTTTCAATGGAATTATTCTTGATAAGACGTCCTACAACTATATTGACGAGGTAACTTTAAGGGAAAAATTGAACCTATTTTTCTTGGTACTAATAACACAGAAACTAAATAAAAACAGGATAATATTTAAACACACGTAGGGTGTATATACCTCTCGGAGGCTAGGTATAAAAGAGTCCCTTGCAATAGACTAGACTATAGACTCGTTTGTGACGGAATGCTGTGTGGTTTTATTCGGTTCGATTTCAATATACTACTTGGGTGGCCCCCTACGGACATTTCCACACCACCAGAATTGCTCTTTTTTTATCTATCTGTCAGTTTTTACGAACTTCACCAGATGTTTTTAAATATCTATCAGCCTATCGCCGTCCACTTCTGAAATAAGGACTCCCCCAAGGAGCGCTAACTATCCTGGTCTTGGGCAGACCTCATCCATTTGCTGCCAGCAACTTTTTTCAAGTCGTCGGTCCATCGTGCCGCAGGGCGCCCTACAGTACGTTTGACTATTGCAGTCTTCACTCCAGCTATGTCGCCTCCAGCGACCATCATTCCGTCTGGAGGCACAAGAAGCCTTCCTATTTATGCTTTACAGTAATTAAGAAATAAACACGCTTAAAGAAACCACAGTTACGTCATTTGACAAAACGCCATTAAAATCCTATGAATAAACACTTCATCCTTAGTAGTTAAAAACTCGTTTCGTAAGTGACTGATCAGTGATCATCATTAGGGTCAATTAAATTGTATTGTATCGGAGTTATTACTAAAAATAAGTAAGCGCACTATTATTAATTTACAATATTTTATTATTAACAACTCTTAAGAACTTGACTGCTTTTTATAATATTTTTTTATATTTTAAAATTTTCATATAACTTTCTAACTTCGACGACATTAATATAATATATAATATAATATATTCTACCACATACACACAACGCCATCTAGTCCCAAACTAAGCAGAGCTTGTACTATGGGTACTAGACAACTGATATAAATACATATATACTTTTTTTTTTTGTAAATACATACATATTATACATACAAACACCCAGACCAAATCAAACATCAAATGTTCATGCACACAAATGTTTGACTTGAGCGGGAATCGAACCCGCGACCTTTGGAATAGTAGTCCGTTACACAAACCACTACGCCATCCAGTCGTCACATTTGCATCAGTGGCAGTTCAGTGACAAGTCAGCGGGAGCTTACATAGTTTGTAAAATATAATAATATGATACAAAACTATTCCGACGACAGTCTATTCACACAATATGAAAATAGTAGAATTAATGTCCAGGTCACCTGATAGTAAGTAACTACTGCTGCACATCAACACCTACAACTCAAGAGGCATAAGCGTACTGCCCTCCCCCCCCCCCCCTCAAATTAGTAATACTAGTATTACCTGTAAGCTATAAATAATAAGAAACAGCGGCACTCCTCGAGAACTGGAATGTTTAATTTTTATTTATTATAATGGGACTTTTTTGTTTATTTCGATTAAATTTCCAACATGAATAAATATCTATGTTGTACGTATATACACAATATATGTTTATATTATATATAGTTATATTACAGAGGTGTCGGTAACGGTAACAGTGTCGCGAGTTCAATGGTTTCTTCCCATCTTGAAACATACATTATTTTGTTTGTTGTTCAAAAATACCCAACGTGCCTATAAGGTTTTACTTTAATATTTTTGGACATCATCAACACACAACGCCTTCTAGTTTCAAACTTAACAGAGCTTGTACTATGAAAGCTAGATTGACTGATAGAATACTTCTGTACTTTTTTTTGTAAACTCATACGTATTATACATAGATCCAAAACCAATTTTTGCAGATCATACAAACGTTTTTATCCGACCCGGGAATCGAACCCGAGACCTCAGCACCACAGTCGCATACGCTACCATTGCACCAATGAAGCATTCATATATATTATTTATTGGGTATTACTAGTAAGGATAAAACATACATGCGTATGGCTATGAAGACTATGGTTAGCGCTCCTGACTGCTAAGGCATAAGTAGTGGGTTTGATTTCTACCCTTCTACGATGAGATTCTGTGGATTAATTGAGGAGTGTGAGCAGCTCAGAAGGGAAACCCCTCGCTTGGCTAGAATGGATTGAATTTAAAATAATGAAACTAAATATAATATTTACAACATTTATTTAATAAATACATTAAATGCGAAATCGTACACTTTATCGGTTATTAGAAAAATACACGATAATACAAAATTTACGCTTACATTAGAAATACTTAGAAATACTGAATTCAGTACTTTATTTATTATTTGTGCTTACTTTGTATATACTGAAACAACTCAATATCAAGAAGCTACTGTGACGTCATTTGACAGTGCCATTAAATCTCACCTCTTTGGTAGCTAAGAAATCTTTTTATAATTGGCAATACTTCGTGTCTAAAGACAAAAAGTTTAAAACAATTTTAAATTTTTATACATATTTGTTAATGGTTACGAATTGTAAACAAAACAGTAATAAGAAATTAGATTTGGCCTTAACCGGCAGCACTGTATCGATAATTGAGGAACGTAATTACCTTTGGCTGGTAAACTCCTTGTAAATATAGAAAAGGCATTTTGTTGGTAAACTCGATAGAATGACACCATGAAACACCTTATGTGGATTTATATGATTACACTTTGAACCAAGGTTGTCGGACAATTTGTAAAAAGTTAAAATATTTTTTGTCATGTTTTGTTCTTTGTGACAAGTGGATTATTAACTATACATGATATAGAAGGAACTAATGAAAACAATATCCGTGTGGTGACGGATTTAGAATACAGATTGTTACCACCCCTATTTATCCCGTGGGTGTCGTAAAAGCCGACTAAGGGAGCAAACTACGCAGGACAACAACACTGCAAAGAGAATAAAAACTTGAAACAAACCGTATACCAACCCGTCTGGCCATCTTGATATAGTAGGCCAAAACCTCCTTTCTAAGTAGAGGCCTATGTTCAGCAGTGGACTATTTAAGGCTGTTGATGATTGATGAATGAAACAATACTAAAATTAGTGCAATAATAGTGATGGATAATTTATTCCAGTATAAACCATGTATTGGTAAAAGTGTAGTCTATCAAATGACGTCGTAACAAAACGTAGGCTTGGTAACTTAATAATAATAAAATAATATTTTATTAGAACTAAAAAAAAACAATGTTTATATAAAACATAACTGCTCTACTAAGAATAAAATTGTATTGCAGTTATGTGCCCACCTCTGAAGGTTCTGCGTTCAAGAGCAAACAACAATAAGTATAAATATAAATAAAATGGGTACATGGGTACAAAATGGTACAGTGACTACATGAGTTACTTAGTGAGCATATGATTGAGTGAGTGTACACGAGGGAGAGAATGAATGAGTAAATGAGTGAGTATGTGAATATTTGAGTGAGTGAGCGAGTTATTTCATTTTAAATAACATAATATCATTATCTCAGCATTATTAGCGAATGCAGAATTAGGTATATCACATCTAAAATGTCTTTTTAATCTCAGAAATTGATCCTTTTTCATTTAATTACTTTTTTAGTTATATCTGCCTATGTCTTCGGAAAGCAATCACAACTTAGCCAAATCTGAAACGCATCCATAATTTGATTACATAATTACATAATATACGAGATATAAACATATAAAGGCTACCAATACATAACAGCCTTTTTCTCACTTTTAGGCAACATTTTGTTTAAAAACTAACAGGCAAATTAACTAATAGTATATATATTGATATTAGAATACAAAATCAGTGACAGTAACGAGAGTACACACAAGGGATCAACATATACTGGTCAATGAAAAAAAACTGAATAATTTATTAATAAATCGATAACCGCGCGATGTCTAATTAGTATAGACAAATCGATTTATAAATAAAAATAATAACTTTATATCAACTTTTAAATATTAGTCTCTGTATTTGATATTACTTTTGTTGATTCAGTATTCTAATATCACTATATTCACATTTTCGACATCATTATATATCTCTAATATTTATGAATAGGTAATAACAAAAAAGAAAAAAAATCTCCTCCATTCGTGAATGGACTTTCTTTTTTTTTAATAACTAAAGGCTAAACTTAAGATTTATAAGAAAAACTTTTTTTGTTCTTAGTACTGTTTTTTTCTCCTCAATTTCTCAACTGAATATTTTTTTTGGTTTGGGAGTTTTATTTTTAAATATAATTAAATGAATTATGATTAATTATAACATCTGTACTAGCATTAGTACAGTACTTAATTAATGATTAATTTTCGACCGTTTAATATTTATTGAAGGGTCAGAGTTATTTTATTTTGCTTGTGTTCGTATTCTTTCCACAGATATTTACTTTCAGTTTTCTCAATTTATTCGACAATTTTTGCAAAATATTTCCACGATGATTCCATGAAAAGTATTTCATTTTTATTTATATATGAGATGACTCAAATCAAACTACACTGACGTGATATGCATTTGTAAATATTGCATCAACGAATATTGACTCAACACGTCAGCCGCAACCAATAACCTAAAATAACAACAAATTTATATTTTTAAACTGCAGTAACTATACCAAACTACTTGATAATCCGTTTAAAAATAAATACAAATATAAACCAGATGAAATTACACAACCTGCAAAGGAATAATATAATAATAATATTTTCGGACTTTGACACACAACGCCATCTAGTTTCAAACTAAGCAGAGCTTGTAATATGAAACATAGATTGACTTATAAATACTTATTTTTTGTAAATACATACATATTATACATAGAAAACACCGAAACAAATATTTGCAAATCATACAAACATTTGGTCCGACCCGGGTATCGAACCCGAGACCTCAGCACAGCAGTCGCATACGTAACTACTGCGCCACCGAGGCATGTTTAAATACGTGCTAATAAATAGCTTTATCGATGTCTTTTTAAACTTGCTTACAAACAAAATTAATCAAACACGTGTATATATAAATAGTAAAGTAAAAGCCTCTTTATTTATATCTATATAACGTTTATAATCTAGTTTTGGTTCGATGTCGTAATTTAGACTTACATCACTCCACACACCAATCCTTACTCTTGCCCTGAGATTTGGTTTTGAGATTACTATGAACACATAATAATTGAATTCGGACACAATTCACTTAAATTTAAAATAAAATGGTGACATCACAATTTTAAAATATTCTAAATTTAAAAGCGTTTTTAATTTCGTATCATCAAATTTGAAACTAGGTTTTTGTGGGTTCATTCACTTCAGACATTCAAAAGCAAATTCTGTCTAAATTTTAGTCTCAAAGGGACATACACATCTCTCAAGAAAATAGTCATCACCAAAAGTGATCTTGACTCTTGACCTAGGGCACTAACCATACACGGTTTTATCATTAGGATTTTTATTTGAGAAAGGCTACTCAATTCTAAATGATATACAGTCGAGGGTAAGGTCTGGATGCAAGTGGTAAGTCTATTTGTTCATGCTTATAATTACTGAGGAGTTCTGCTGATGCTACGACTTGGAGAACTTGAATACACTCGGTGTACTTTTCTTTTGTGGTTTGTTTTCTGCTACCTATTAAAAAAAACGTTTTAGATATCAAATGATCCTCCCACTCGTCTATATTCCTGAAGGGGTAGATAGAAGCTTATTAAACTCCATTTTGGAGACCATAAGACAAGCCTATAGTCGTATATTAGATAGGAAAATGGCTGGAAATTAATGAAAGGAAAGCGAAGTTAGAGATGAATTAAGATATGGCTTTAACTTGGCTTGGGGCAATAGGTGGAGTAGTTCCAACTTGGATTATAAGCCGTGGTTGGACTCTGACAGATGTGGAACAACGAATCTTTTTATAGAAATCATTTTGCGTGAGAGAGCCGAAGTTACTTGTGTATGGCGACGACGCCACACCACATTACGTGGTACGTATAATATCACATAGCGTGGTGACGCATGCCACTGCAACTAGTCGCCACGACAACGGCTGGTCTGACCCCTCAGATGTTTCACAGATACTACCTTCAAACCTTCAAGAAAAGAGCGTACAAAAGGCCGGCAACGCGTTTGTAACTCCTGAGTTGCAGACGTTCATGGACGGCGATGGTCACTTTCCATCATGTGACCCGTCTGCTCGTCTGCCCCTTCTGATATAATAAAATAATTAACAAGGGCATTTATAAGGTTAGTTATAATAATGAAACTCACAGTTCTCTCTCCAAGCAGCAGTCTCGCCTTGTCCTCTTCGTGAGGTTCGGGCGCGGCCGCAGCTCTCCTGTGCAGCTGGAGTTTTTGGCGGATAGCTTGCGATAGTATCACCCTGTACAAAGATATTAGTTGAAGATTAGATGAATTACATATCAGTGCGATATTTACATATGTTAAGCTAACCATGGTGCACATTTTTAAGATTTATTTTTATTAGTGACTACCATTTGCCTGCAACTTCACTTGCGTTTATAGTAAAATGACTTGGTAACTTTGTTTAATTTTTAAATAAAACAAAACCTGTTTCTTAAGTTCGTTAAGTTTACTACGGTTAATATAAACCAGGTGGGCTTAACCTTATCTTTTATTTTCCCTGTACGGTAACCATAACCCGTACAGGTTTAGTATCTCAAGTGTGAACAACAAACCAACAAACTGAATTTCACATTAATATTTGTTTCTTTTTTAATATTAATTAGTACTTATTATCAAAGAAACTACACTACTCTGTTTACATAATTGTACTCGTAAGTTAAAGATTTCAACGTAACATCGACGGGCATGTTGTCCTAGTAGATAGTGTCAACCAGAGGTCATAGGTTCGATTCCCACCCAGGACAAATAATTATATGATGAGCACGATTATTAATTTGTTCTGTGTCTGGGTGTAATTTATCTATGATATGTATTTTAAGTGTGTTAATCGACAGTCTACGTACCACAGTACAGGCTCTGACCAGTTTTAAGAGATATCTGAGTTTATTAAGTTACAAAGATTCTCACCTCCTCGTATCACTCTTAGTAGCGAGTAGTAAGTCCAGCCATGTCCACGTCACGTTATGATACTCTAAAGTAGGAAGCACTAGGGGCAGATCCCTTACATCCTCCAAGTTCTTCTCTTTGCTGCCCTTGTAAGAAACCCTGACGGGCACTTCAGGGATTTTGATGTAGATGAACAGCTTGTTCTTCTCAGCTCGCTCCTGTATAAACATATTCGTTGATAAGATAACCTCAACATGAGTACAAGCACTACTACGTGGGAGAACCATGTTTTGGCATATTTGGTCAAACTCGTCTGAGATGCTACCTATCCCCTAATGTCCTTATAGTGGAGCATTAGGAATACGGAATATCACCACCCCTATTCATCCCGCGGGTGTCGTAAGAGCCGACTAAGGGAGTAAACTACGAAATGCAACAGCACTGCAAAGAGAAAGAAAACTTGACACAAACCCTATACCAACCCGTCTGGCCAGCGTGGTATAGTAAGCCAAAACCTCCTTTCTAAGGAGAAGCCTATGTCCAGCAGTGGAACGGTACGTGTATGTTTGTAAAGTCCCCCGTAACACATGAGTTAAGAATAATCACAGATCCCGCATTAAGAATTTAAGAGTAGTCTTTAAAAAAATATCTACAGACCTTCATCTTCTCAACATCATCTTTGTCCTTCTTATCCCTCTTCACGTAGAAGTTCGAATTTGAATCCTTCCCTTTTTTCTTAACCTTCTTGGAGCCTGTCGACACCAGACTGGATGATGACGCTCCCGCCTTTAAGGTGCCTTCGTTGTCTTCTTCGCCGTCTTCTATGGAGTCAGGGTCGCGCTCAGGGAAGCAAAACTTGAGCATAGTGTTGAAGAACTTCTTGGTTAGACCTAGATCAATATGGCAACTTACAACAATTATTGCATAATTCTTAACTAATTTTATAAATAACATATTATCCAAAGCGGCATTGCGGGTTGGGTAGAAGGGGTAACACGGCAAACAGTGGAAGTGAGCGCTGACGCGTCGCAAGGAGTACTTCGTAAACATTTTCCTAGGTCGCAATTCCCAGCGCTGTCGAAGTCGCATGTGTCCTATCACGCGATGGACCCGGCACCCGCACGGTCAATCCATGCAACGATCAGAAATAGGTCTAACATTTATGGTAAAATCTAGGTAATAAGGTTCTGATATACATGCCACCACCCTTATTCATCACGTGGGTGTCATAAGAAGTGACTAAGGGAGCAAACTACGAAGGACAACAGCACTGCAGAGAGAAGGAAAACTTGACCCAATCCTATACCAACCCGTCTGGCCAGCGTGGTATAGAAGGCCAAAACCTCCTTTCTAAGGAGAGGCCTATGTCCAGCAGTGGGCTATTAAAGGCTGTAGATGAGATGATGATACATGCCACTTACGAACTAACACAGCATTCACAATTTAGACATGTTAACAAAATCACATTGATATATGGGTATTAAAAAACTTAACACTTTTCTAATCTAGTGAGTTTAGTGGTTAAATTAAAGATGGGAAGTCAAGTGTAAAGTTTGGGTCGGCTCGACCGGAATGACATAACGTCCTTACATAATACCGGCGTTACACTGCGTGAGGTTACCGAAGCCCCCTCCACTTTGGGGGAAGCATTAAAAGGATGGCAATTACACTTGTGTCTTTGAGGTTCAGGTCTCATCGGGCAGCATGAGTTACTTACCATCGAATAAATTCTCAGGTCATTTGCAAGTAAAGGAATTTTGCTTTTAATGATGATTTGGGGTATGTAGCCTCAATCGAACTATTCAAGGTTATATAAAATTATATAACCTTGAATAGTTACCTGTTGAGGGGTCTGTTGGTCTAGTGGCTAGTGACCCTGACTGCTAAGCCGGAGGTCGTGGGTTCGATTCCCACCCAAGACAAATATTGTGTGATGAGCACGGTCATTTGCTCTGTGTCTGGCTGTAATTTAATTGTATAAATCGATGGCATATTGGTTTAAGCGGTCACCTAGCCTACACCACCTTCGATACCTACATGAGACATCACTTTGTGTGATCCACAAATTGTTTTCCTGAGTCTGGGTGTTCTTTGTGTCCTTTTCATGTATGATTGTAAAGTCCTCCGTGACACAGGTTTATATACTTAGTGAGGGAGATGTCTTTTTAAAAAAGGAAAAGAATATGTATGTATTTAAAAATATATAAGTATGTTTATCAGCAGTCTGGTAACCATAGTACAGGCTTCGCCTAGTTTGGGATCAGACAGCCGTGTGTGAGATGTGTGAGGTTATTATTATTATTATACTCGAGTCATCTAACATACTCTATATCTATTAAAGAAGAAACCGATAGACTGATTCACTGACTGATTGATCAATGCACAGCTAAAACCGTTGGGTCTAGAACCATGAAATTTTGCACAAATATTCCTTAGGTGATGTAGGTGTGCACTAAGAAAGGATTTCTAAAAATTCCACCCCTGAGGGTGCAAAATATAGTAACCCATATTACTTATTATTATATAAACTTATTATTTTATACTCTACGTTATTTTTTGTTAATAGCGTTTTCAAACTCACAGTAAAAACTCTTTATTAAAAGTAATAAATTCAAACTACCTTCTCTTTTAAAAGAAATAGGAATGTATCTTGTGTCGCGGGGGACTGTACAATGTGGGGTTTGAACCCACAATACTCAGCGAAGTAGGAAGCGGCGTAGCGACCGCTTAAACCCCTGCGCCATCCGTGCAAATTAACATAAAAATATAACGCCGCTTGATTAGATTATTGAGTCTCAAATATTGAAGGTTTTTTTTAATGGTATATGGGGAAACGGATGTCTGCATGGATGGTGTATAGTGGTTTAAGCAGCCGCCATACTGCTTTGCGCCTGTGTGCTGTGGGTTCGAGTGTCGTCCCATGTAGGGAACATGGGACGACACTTTGTGTGATCCACAAATTGTTGTTCTGAGTCTGGGTGTTGTCTGTATCCGTTTCATGTATGTTTGTAAAGTCCCCCGCGATACAGGATATATTCCTAATGCGGGAACTCTCAGTATAATTACTACGATGAATGATGTCAACCCCAAGCGGACAAAGTCACTAGACAAAGCTAGTTATTTATATTTTCTACTTTGTCTTTATCCGTATTACTAGTAATGTTACTGTTTAAACAGGTGGGAGTATTTCTTGTACAAATATTACACAACAGTAATACAATATTAAGAAATATTATTCTTTAATGAAAGTGTGTTTAATGTTGTAACACTGGATGCCTTATATAAAAAGACACTGTTTTTTTAGGATTCCGTACTTAAAAGGAAAAAAACGGAACCCATATGAGATCACTTTGTTGTCCGTCCGTCTGTCTGTCAAGACCCTTTATTTTGATATCGAGTTGAAATGCAAACCGTATACTCAGGTCCCTTGAAGTAGTGAAAAAATCAAACTTCTAAGTTAAGGTAAATAAAAATACGGCCAATTATGCCTCCAAACATGCAAATTTCAACATTCTTAAGGATATCAAAATTTAGAAGGTACTTTCCGTTAACCTAAAACTAAAAAATTTGGGAAGAAACATTATCTTATACTACAAGTACAGGGAAAAATCTGTAAACTATACATTTGTGATTAAATCATAAAAAATATATTTAAAGTGGGTAATCAATCATCATCGTGGTACAATTTCACTTATAAAACACAATAACATAAGTAATTATAGGTTTTGAAAATTGAATTTCGGGAAAAACTCGGAAAACTGCGAGTCTCGATTTCCGAACCATTTATAATTTGTACGAAACCCTCGATGGGCGAGTCCGACTCGCACTTGTCCGGATTTTTTCAATTCATAATAGGTTTTCCTATCATCTTAGAAACCAGGTGTTGTGCAGCGAGTGTTTTTGTGTAAAACACGTTTAAAAACACTCGATTTAATAATACTTTAAGAGATATGAGAAGTTATAAATTATATTAACACGTTTGTATTGGCACGTTATATAAACAAAACTACATAGTTGACAGCCTTGTTAGTCTAGTGTTTAGTGACCCTGACTGGTAAGCCGGTGGTCGTGGGTTCGATTCCCACCCAGGACAAATAATGGTATGATGAGCACGATCATTTGTTCTGTGTCTGGGTGTTATTTATCTATGTATGATACAAGTATGTTTATCAGCAGTCTGGTTACAATAGTACAGGGTCTGCCTAGTTTGGAATCAGATTTCCGTGTGTGGGATGTGTGTGACGCTCTGAGCGGATGGGAGCGTGACCGAAAAATTTGTAACAAGACTTTTTTCCGACACTTCGTACGGAACTTCGTTCCGACCGGGGGTTCATAGACCCCTAACGCCGTTTTTATTTTAATCAATTTTACTTCTAAATATAATATCAGTAAGCTACTTTTTTTTTTCACTTCAAAAAATAAAAAAAAGAAGCAACTGTCCCGGCTAGGTCTCTGGTAACCTTACTTATTTGATAAAGAAAATAGGAATAATATCTGAAGAGGTTTCCACTTCCCACACTCCCAGACCTAATCTAAAGTTATTACTTGGATTTTCATAAAAGCAGCAAGAAACAAAAAATAGGTGCCATAAACATAGATTATGTTACCTATTAGGGATGCAATAAAATCAAGATCACCTGTGATAAAATCATATATCCACACTAATACGAGTATTATAAATGCGAAAGTGTGTCTGTCTGTATGTTTGTTACTTCTTTACGTTTAAACTGCTGAACCGATTTAGGTGAAATTTGGTATGGAGATACTTTGATTCTTGAGGATAGGCGTATGCTATTTTTATATGAATGTATATATGAATCATATAATGTGTGACTAATTTACAAAACCACCGAGATTTATTACTATTATTACTTTAGCGCCAGATTCGCGAAAGGTCTAAATCTTAAAAAAAGGGAAATAATTTTTGACAAAAAGAATTTTGATGCATTTTGGTGGCATTTTGTCTATGAATCCAATGTCTGTCCATCGTATGTCAAAAAAAACACAATCACAGATAGTGACTAACTAACTATAACTAATCACTGCATCATATGATTATGATTTTAAAGTAGAAATAATTTTCATGTGTATTACCTATCCGTATGGGGACGATGTTGACTTCGAAGTGCTCCTTGACAGCGATGCCGCCCACGGGCGGGCGGTCGCGGCAGAACACGCGCAGCGCCGCGCGACGGGCCAGGGGCGCGCGCCCTGACGGCTCCTGCGGGACCAACACCTGGAGGAGACAATATGCACAATTGTTAGCTACCTTACAGAGATGCTAAACATTAGCGAATTTATATCGATCTTGAATAGGGTAGATTGCTAGTTTAAAAATAAATTATTTCGCCTGAATCACGCTGAAGTACAGCCTGAATTGTCCTCTATTATCAATTTAATATTATTAGTGTTTTGATATCTTCAAATCAAAATTTAATATAAAGAATTTGACAACTGCTAGGTATAACGTTATGCTAAAGTATTTCATACAAAATATACTGCGTTAATCGTTTTCACGTTTAATAAAAATATATTAATTTGACTTGACACCACAGTATTTCAAACAAAAATGTAACGCGTCTACCGTTTTGACGTTTAATAAAATACTGATTTGACTTCTACACTATTATCAATGAATTATTTCATGTTAAACTACCTTCTGCTCATTTGCTGCCCATTCCATTAAAAGAAACCATTGAAATTGCTGGTTTGCAAAGTGTCCAAATAAATCTACAGCCCCTGTGCACCTTACATTCTCTTATATTCTTATACATCTCTATCTCTACATATTCATAATCACAGAAATCGTAACAATAAGACACTTGCCTTATTGTCTTATTATTACAATTTCTATGATCAGAACGGTACTTACCTCAGGAAAAGGCTCGTTCGGTAGCAGATTCTTCACTCTAACGTATCCAAGTTCAAGCTGATGTTCCACCGAGTCATCTGATCTTGATGTCTTCGTGTATCTAAATAATACAAGGGTTCACGTACAGTGGGACAAGCATAAAACTGTCCATCGGGTACAACATCATGAAGTGATCAATTTTAAAACCAAAACCACGACATATGTACAGTTCAACTTTTTTCAACTTAGATATTATTTATTTATTTATTTATTTATTTATTTATATCTTTATTGTTCACAAATTAGCACATAAGACATTACAAATATTTAGACTTAACAATCGGCGGTCTTATCGCTCACGGCGATCTCTTCCAGACAACCTTGATACGGATATTTGTGATTTAAAAGTTGAGTAGTTTACTTACACATAACGCATATCACGTGAATATTTAAAATATAAACAATAGCATCCATACACAATAAACACCTGTTCACACTACACATAGATAAATACATATACATACATACATACACACATACATAAACAAAATTTATAAATATACATATACCTACATATTTATATATACATATATTTACATATTCAATAGACATACACACAAAATATATATATACTGTCCGAAATATATACCATATATAAAGAAACCAACAGTATTTATAATGTCAGATAAAAATCCTTCACTAGCTTTTTGAAAGCGGGCAAGGTTTTAGCTTGCCGGATTGTCAAAGGCAAGTTGTTCCAAAGTCTTACTGCTTGCACAGTAAAAGATTTGTCAGCAAACTGGGTGGAATGTTGTGGCATTTTTAGTTTTAAATTCTCCGATGACCTTAGGTCCCTGCAATGTGTGTTGTGTAAGAACTGAAAACGTTCTTTGAGATAAGAGGGTGTGCGAGGATGAAACAGAACACTGTATAAAAGAGAAAGAATATGAAGATTCCGGCGAAAGCGTATTGGTAGCCACTTGAGTTTAAAACGATACTCTGAGATGTGATCATATTTGCGTAATCCAAATATGAATCTAATACATAGGTTTTGGAGTCGCTCAAGTTTATTCAGTTGGTCTTCGGTGAGATCCAGATAGCTGACATCGCCATAGTCAAGGATAGGAAGAAGAAGAGATTGTGCGAGCGCAATTTTAGTATAGGTGGGAAGGAAGTTCCGTAGCCTTCGCAGAGATCCTGCCGCTGCAAATAGTTTTCGGCTAACTTCTCCAACCTGGGGGCCCCAGGATAGGTACCTATCCATGTGGATCCCCAAGTTTTTTACCTTTTCACTGTAAGGTACAACCGAGCCATTGCAACAAACAAATGGTATTTGCTGAAAGTTTATTTTAGCTTGTAGCCTGGGACTACCTACAATAATCACCTGTGTTTTTGTGGGGTTTACGCTTAGGCCATACTCCCTACTCCAGTTACATGTTTGCATTAAGTCTCTATTTATGGCATCCACTGCTTTTGTTAAATTATCTGGAGTAGCTTGTGAGTAGATTTGGAGATCATCTGCGTAAAGATGGTAGGAAGACAGTAATTTATTTGTGATTGAGTTAATAAAAACTGCGAAAAGTAAAGGTGATAACACGCCGCCCTGAGGTACGCCCGCAGATGTTGTGAGCCAAGAAGAATAAACGTTTTCAGTACAAACACGCTGCTGGCGACCGTACAGGTAACTACGAAACCAGTCAATTGCCGATGGAGATATGTTAAGAGAGCACAATGTACCCAGCAAGACATCAAAATCCACAGTGTTGAAGGCGTTGCTGAAGTCGAGTAAAGCAAAGACCGTTAGCTTTCCTTCGTCCATGCCTGACCTAACATCGTCCGTAATATGGACTAGAGCTGTTGTAGTGCTATGACCTGGACGGAAACCTGACTGGAAAGGATTGAGGAGACAATTTCTTGAAAGAAATGAAGTTAACTGTGTGTGAATGAGACGCTCGAGGACTTTGGAAAGAAAAGGAAGGATAGATATGGGACGGTAATCTGAAAAGGAGGACGGATTACATTTCTTGGGGAGAGGAATAATTTGAGCCATTTTCCATGCAGAAGGAAAAACGTTGACGGATATGGAATAGTTGAGAATATGGCTAATTACAGGTAGGATCTCATCCAGGATAGGAAGAACCATTTTACGGCTGATACTGTCGCTTCCTACTGCAGTAGAAGTTATTGACATAATGCTCATCCTTACATCACATGCAGCAAATTGACTAAAAAAGAATGGGGAACAGTCAGGAATCGGCAGAGAAGAAAGATAATTCAGCGTCGTAGTCTTGGTAGCCGCTCTGTAAACGGAGGCAGCAGAAAAATATGAATTCAGGGAATCAATATCAATATCTTTTGAAGCACAATTTGGACGTGACTTGCCGATTCCCAAGGACTTAAGAAACTTCCAGACCTTAACTGGGTCACCGTTTTCAACCGATTTGTGGATATGTCGGCGCTGAGCGTTCCTACACATCTTATTGCAGTGATTTCTAATAAGCACAAATTTTGCCCAGTTTGATGCTGTAGGGTGACTTTTATACTTCGATTGAGCTCTTACTTTCTTTCTCTGTATCTCCTTTATTTCGCCAGTAAGCCAAGGTGCAGGGAGATGTTTTACCTTTATTTGTCGCATCGGCGCATGCTTGTCGTACAAGTACATTAAATTATTTGTAAAGATGTCTGTTTTTTCGTCAACACATTGGGAGTTAAAAAGTGGACTCCAGTCGATGTTGTCAGCATCTCTGCGAAGATTTTCGACATTCATATTTCGAAAATTACGGTGTGAGATTATTTTAGCTTTAGGTTTAGGAGTACGGATGATATAGGATAGAAAGAGAAGATCATGATAGGAAAACGAATCTGCAGAGCACTGGCCATGTTTAGCCACGTGCTCTACAGAGGATACAATTATATTTGAGTTTATTAATAATATCTATATATATATAGAGATTTCCACGTATATAGTCACTCATCACGATATCTCTGGAACCATTAGAGCTAAAGACTTGGAATTTGGTAGGAATATTCTTTTCACCGAGTAGAGGTCAGCTACGAACGGATTTTACGAAATTCAAATTTTTTTTTGTTAAATAATGTAAATAGCAAAACAACGTTTGTAGGGTCAGCTACGAGTAGTATAATAATAATATTAAAAAATATGGAACATTGAATAATATTGAAGCAATTGTGATATAAAATTGAAAATGTTGTAAAAAGGGTTATGTAAAGCTATTACCTATATATTTTGACTTGTCATGAACACAATAGCCTATACAATGACAGTTGAAGTTATGCTGGTCGATTAATTATTTAACATATTTTATTGACCAGCATAACTTGAACTGTTAATAAAATAAAACAAGCCATTGAAAATACTTTGTCTTGAGGACACTTGGGTTTTTTAAAAAATACCTTATCTGTCGAGAAACATTCTGCCATTTGGAAGTTACGAGGTAATAAAGAAATTTACAAGATACGCGCGAAAAATATAACCCTTTCTCAGCAGTCGTGTAATAAACTGACGGGTCTGTCGGTCGAGGGGTTAGTGACCCTGACTGCTAAAACTGGAGGTCGTGGGTTGGATTCCCACCCAGGACAAATAGAGTGTAATGAGCGCGGTCATTCGTTCTGTGTCTGGGTGTAATTTATCTATTATATGTATCTAAAAATATATAAGTATGTTTATCAGCAGTCTGGTTACCATAGTACAGGCTTTGCCTTGTTTGGGATCACAGGTGTGTGAGATGAGTGAGATGTATTATTGTTATTACTCATTAAAGGACTCACAAGAAGTTGGTGAGCAGCAGGTCGGCGATGCCGAGCTGTCCGTCTGCGTCGGTGAGGCGCCAGCGCGCACTCTTGAAGCAGATCTCGTTGTAGCGGTGCGGCGCGGCGTGGGCGCTGCGCACGTGCGGCGCCGCGGCCGCGCCGCGCCACTCCTCCGCCTCGCGCCACGCGCGCACCATCGCGTCCAGCTCCTCGCCCAGCGACCACACCGACTCCTTGCACTCGTTCACCTGCACACACAGCCTCACTCGTGACGTGATCTCCGCTCCGCTCCGCTCTCTCTCTTCACAACCTCGGCTTGCAGTCTACTATGACACGGCTGAACTTCGATTTTGTATGTGGAGCGACTGCCATAAGACCTCTATACAACACAAGTTCTAGGCACTAACGAAATTCTATAGACAGACTATTGACAATCTTTTACAACTCCAACGATCCGTAAAGATTGTATCAGATGCTCTCCTAGGCACGAAGGGATCTCAATGTGTTAAGAAACGTCACCAATCAATAAACTGACCTAACTAGGATTGCTTAACTTTGCAATGTACCTATCTACTCGATTACCAGTTAGCCAGGAGGAAAACGCAAACCCTAATTGCTGGTTCTTTTTCATTGCAATTTGTTTTCAATACTACACAATTGAAAAATTATAATAGTTTTTCTGTAAAAAACTAACTACATAAACCAGACAAAAAGAAATCAAAAAGTTCACACTTGTTAGCATCACAGGGATTTAGGTTCAACCTAAACCCCTTTATAAATCAATTTACCTAAACATCTCACGTACCAACTATGACGCATTAAAATCTTCCCAAACTATATAACAATGGATGGCCGCAATCGACAGGCAGATTTGGCGGTAGTTACCTTTATTTTGTTTATTTATTTAATGGAAGACCAACAGCTATAACAGTAGTGTATGACATAAAAATACGCAACATTAAGTCAATTACAGATCCTCACTTAACATCAAGTTGAACAATAAAAACCGCAAACTGAATAGAGACAATTTAATTTTTTAATAAATGAAATCAAAATCGGAGTTAAAACTAAAAAGAATATGAAATCAAAACGAAAATAAAATTAAAATTCAAATCAAAATAATCGGTTAAATTTATATACGTTACATTTCCAGTTATAATTAAATTATAAATAGTGTTAATCTTTCAAAAAAGATATTTAAGAATCCTGATCACCTCAAAATATTATTTTCTTTAAGTTAAAATTATGGATGTTATCGTTTGATGTCTATAAAGGGGTTGACGACGACTTTTGAGAGGGTCCTTTAGGTTTGAATTATGGTCACACACACGTGATCATTACATTTTTCTGTATTTTAAACTCTCGGATGTATGTCAATAAAGTTTAGTATTAATTTACAGGAAAATATTCAAAGTTAGCCTTAACCTCTCATGTGGTTTGTCACGGATCCTTGCACCACGCGTCAACTGTTTAGTCAAGGATCCGTGTCACAAAGATCTTGTTAGTTTTTGTTGAAAAATAAGTTTTACAACTAATAAATATAAAGTTTTTATTTCTTTTAAACTAAAGACTGGATGAATTTACAATATGTATTGTCAATTTAATTGGTTAAAAAAAGCGTTATTTAACCACTTTAAATTTTTAAACTTGATCCGCGCGCGTTGAATTCGGGCGCTCGAAAATTTTGAAAATTATATTTATTAAGGTTAAATAATTAAATAATAAGGTTAATTATATTTATTAATGTCATATTTTTATTACTAAGGTCATATTCGTGGATAGTTGTTTCTCAGTAATAACTCGCAGTCGAGATAAATATAGTAAATAATTTGAAAAAAAAAACAGTAATTCATTGAGTGAGGTAAAATTATTGACAACTTTTGGATGCATAGTGATTCATAGTAAAATAAAATTGAATCACGAGTTAGGACAAATTTACGACTTGCCGTTCAAAGTTGAGCAGACGGGGGGTTGCTACATTCGCGGTAACACGCTTAAATAAATAGCAAAGACAACAAATTACTTCTTAATTTGATCACATATATTTTTATATGCTATAAAGGTCTACAACACCGTTCGTATAGCTCATGGTCATCGCTGAACAAGTATGAATATATCGTCTTTTATTTTAAACATTTGTTTTTATAAAAAAAATAACTTAAAAAAACTTATTAAGTAATATATTAATTTTTAGTTTATATTATTTTTAGTTTTTAGTGGTTTTTTTATGTTTTCTTTTTATTATGTATTCTTATGTATTTCTTATCTTATTATTCATTGTATATATATTATTATAAAATTTCATTATTCTATTATCAATTTTTACGAATGTCTAATTATGTTTTTACTCAAATGTTAGGAAACTACCAGTTTGTTCAAACCGTTAAAAACAGATACAAACCTGATCATCAAGACTCTTGAGCTCATCCAAGGCAGCTGGATCGTTGCCGGTCATCGATCTATTCTTCAGGTAGTATTCCTTCTCCAACCGACGAAGTCTTGCAAGAGACTCTCTCACCTGGGTCACAATATCAAAAAATTAACTTGAGATAATTGTATTTATATCTTCTTTTATTGGTTAGTATCGTTAGAATATGAATTATTTTATTACTCATAAATATTATATGAATGTTTAGTATCATAAGATAAAAAATAATATACATACAAGAATTAATCATAGGAAATATACAAACACATAATTGATCGGCGGAATACATTGTAAGATAGTGACTCCTACGAATGAATCATAAATACGAAGGTAAAGTATCTATGACGCACATGCGATATCAGTACAGTAGAAATAGAACGGTAATTTCAACAAATGAGATACAGTCTTCGGTAGTATAGTGGTCAGTATCCCCGCCTGTCACGCGGGAGACCGGGGTTCGATTCCCCGCCGGAGAGATCTCTTTTTAATATTTTTTTAATACTTTTCGATATGTTTTGTTACTTTTTACATCATTTGTGACAACTATTTCAAATTTTCTTGTTTTTTGCTTTTTATTCTAGGAAAAATTTCAGCTACATATTTTATCCTAATTTTAGGTTTTGGCGTAATTCGTAGTAACAACAAATCATTTGTCAAAATAGACTATTTTTGTTGCCTATAGTTTTTATTTCTAACATTAAAGATTTCAAACGCAAGACTACAACTCCCTCTTTAATATGTTTAGTTTTTTTTTATAAAACGTATGTGCAACGAAACCAATGTTCGTAAGTATGAAATATTTTTTCAAGCATTTGCCCTTTAAACTACCATTCACCTCGTAAACTACAAAAATAAACCCAACAGGTCTCGGACCCCCCCCCCCCCCCTGGACTTATTTTTAATGTATCACCAAGATATAGTATGGGAATAATCCCTCCCACACGCCTACTACTGTACCTCCTGCACACCAGAGGGGCCTCGTGTGAGTTTATTTCACTTCGATCTTTATGATGACCGTGTTCGGAGCTGTGATTGGTGTAGAGCGCGGACCAATGGCAACGCCGAACGCGCGCCGAGAGGGAGTTGATGTGAAATAAACTCGCACTCGGCCTACAGGATCAACAGCAGTGACTCACGAACATAATGAGTTATGACACTCGAGAAGTCCCACTAAAATTTAAACTGGTTCCAAACCCGTAATTAAATTAATCAGAAGTACATTGGAGAACTGGCAAATATATCATTAGGAGTCTTTACTAGTCCACTGCTGGACATAGGCCTCTCATAGGCCTAAGGAGGTTTTGGGCTACCGCGCGGGCCAGACGGCCTGGTATAGTTTGTTTCAAATTTTCTTCTTTTTGCAGTAGTCCTGTGTAGTGCGCTCCCTAAGTCTGCTCTTACGACACCCACGGGGTGAATAGGGGTGTTAACACTCTGTATTCTTGATCCGTCAACACAAAGAACCTGTTCTACGCAAAAACATACACAAGATTATAAGTATATACCTGTGTCTGCAACTTATGTATAAGTTGCCTTGGGTCTTGATCCTGGTGAAGCTGCAACTGAAACCGCATACGAGCCCGCCTCTCCAGCGTGCGACGTCGCTCCGGCTCCACGTGGAGAACTACGTTGTTCACCACGTCGAGCAACATAGCGTACTGAAAACAGTGTTAATGTTGAAGAAGCCGTAACTTACGCTATGAATGAGAAATATTCATTTACATACAAGATATATGACCATCGTAACAAACGAATGTTTGGACTAAACCAAGAATTTTTTAAGTTAAAACACAATGGAAATATAATAACATGCAATAAACATGGCAATTACTTGTCTATGGCAATTTTGATTAAGCAATGTCAATATTGTTGTTCAAAATGTTGGATTTAAGAAATTGAATAACTAAAAGTTACTTAACTCCTAAAGTCAATTCTAAAATAATCTAATATAAAATAAACTCTTTTCTTAAGGTAAACAATTTTTTTTTTAAATATGTGGTCTCTGCAGCTCAGAGCTATGTCTTGATATTGACGGGCTTGTGGGTCTAGTGGTTAGTGACCCTGACTGATATTTTTAAACTTTCTACTGTCAGTAGTGTTTTCATGACAAATCAAAATGTGCCCAACACTTGCCCATGACTTCATGACAGATTTTTGACGCTACTATTTTTTATATAAAAAGTATTGTTTTTCTTATTGGTTTTGTTATTATATAGCTAGACTTGTACCAATTTATTTAATGTAAACTGTTAACTATTATATCTTCCATATTAGCATTAGATCACAAAAAAATGTTAGGTGGGATATCATAACTTGGCGCCGAGAGCACGCTTTGCTTTTTTGACGTAGCGGTCAAAGGATTAAAATATTTTAAGAGTTAACAGTACAACACATAAGTAAGATGACACATCGCACCTTTATTCATAAACTGAATTAACTTAGAACTTCAATATTGTGGGAAATCGCATTTAAAGTTTGACATTCATGTACGTGCGAGTTCGTCAAAAAGAGAACGACGATCCCTTATCTCTGCCATTTTCATGGTATCGAGTCGGCTGTTGGATTGTTCGTGTTCTACTGATGAAGTTGATTTGGTATTTGTTGAAAACTCGAAAAACGTAAATTTTGAATTAGTTCAGTTTATTATTAAAGGTGCGACATGTACATACAAAAATAAATTACCTGTAGTGAGTTAGTGCACACATTCAGGTCGTGGTGCATGAGTGTAAATGAATCGTAGGGCTGTTGCTGAGTCCAGCCCGTGCCCTGCCCCCCCACGGGCTCGGCCTCTTCGTGCGACACGTAGTAGAACTCGCACGCACACCGCGATACTATGCGTTGGAGCTGCAATAAGAGATTACAATAAAAACTTTGCAGAACCGCAAATTTTGATTAAAGTCAATTTTTCCTACTTTATTGGACATTTAATTTCAGTGTATATAAAAACAATAATGTATTTAAAAAAAAAACACGTTTTAATTCATGTAATAATGTTACAAAAGTATGAAAGGAACAAAAAACATGAGAAAAATAGTTTTTAAGAACAATAAGGGATTTTTGTTACATAGTATTTTTGACATATTTTTACAATTTAATTTTACTTTTGAAGATTTTTTACGATTTTTAATAGAAAGTGGGAATTAGTTCCCATAATTATTGTACAATTTTTTTACTAACTATATTTAAGGCATCCTAAAGAAAGTGTTCTGAGTTTTATTTTTTGGTATAAATTTTATTTAATAATGTGTTGAAGAAGTCACGTTTCTGAAAACTTAAGACCCGTACTGGTTAGTGTTATATTTTTAAGTTTGTTAGGAAACGTGGCAGAGCGAATAGTTCAGGGTATATCTGAAGGTTGTGAGAAGTTAGGTGTGACACCTGCGCGAGGCCGGTGTCGGCGCTGGGCCCCACGCAGCGGCCGATGACGCCGCCGGCCGAGTGGCCGCTCCCCACCAGGCGCGGCACGTCGGGCAGCGCGCTGATCTCCGCGCTCTGCCAGCGCTCCGAGATCTCCTCCACCGACACCCACTGGATGTTCTCTGCGGACAACGATTCTTGTACATTTGTTTACAGTAAGCATGCTTTAAAATATTCGGCTCCTACTAGCTGTAAAAGCCAACTTGTAAAAATATCTGAAAATATTTACTGACAAAAATAAATATCATAAAGTTAAATTTAAGAATTCAACGATCATTCGAAAATTATTTAATCTAGTATTATTAACTTTAAAAAATCAACCACTCCAATGCGCTTACATCGTCTGATATTGAATACAACCATTTTTTTTTTAATTTTCTTCAATTCCATTTGAGAAAAAGGTACCACCAAATTCTTCAAATTTAAATGAAACAAATGCGAATATACTTACCCTTTGAAATAAAAAATAATAATTTTTTAATCGCTTTATAACTAAGAGAGTTCTGAGGTATCAAACACAAAAAGAAAAAAATACTGTCGAAAGAAAGTCTCAAACTTCATTATTTTTTGAAAGTCGGTTAAAAAGAGATTATTAAGTGAGTGTTACCGTCTAGCTGGTCCCTGTCGGCGGCGCTGACAGTGGCGTAGTACTGCATGGCGGAGAGCGCGCCGGACCACGCGGCGGCTGCGGGCTGGCGCCGCACGCGCTGCCGCACCTCGGCCCGCGCCGCGCACAGGATCACGTAGCCGCGCGTCTCGCAGCCCTTCAGTACCACCTGGGAGTTCACCAGCTCGACTGGAACACGACACCGACACCCCGCTTAATACTTTCATAGCGAAAGTAACTTCTCGACTGACAATAGTCATCAAATTTCCGGGTATAGATTCAAAAAAGCGGAGTGTAAGAGTTCTAAACCTCTCCCGTTCCGTCAGGCCAGCAACGGGTCAGGTACCGCAGATGATTCAAACGCCGGAAGTCACAGAACACCTCCGTCCTCTACAAGCGCAGGCCTCGGGGTGAGGAATGGGAACACCGTGGGACACACGAGGGTATCTGTCACATGCCGTAGATGGCCCGGGGCCCGTCAGAGTACCAGAGATGTTCTGCCTAGGGTACACCGGGTTCCCTGACTACAGGTACCTGAGACAGTGTGCTGTTTTTCTGACAATCACAGATGGATACGATACACGGAGGGAATTTCCGCACAGGAAAAAACAAGGTATTTATTGGTTTGACAGAGTATTTATTCTGCAAGTGAATTTACATGAAATTCTTTTGCATTTTTTTCCCAAAAGAAGTTTGACATTAATATGGTGAAAGAGTACGACAAGAAATTCAATAGTTAGGCCTTTTTTTTACAAACGTAAACAGATTATAGTGACCTTTGTAAGTCTGTGCTCCGTGTGTGTGCAGTAGGGTTCGCCCGATTTCGTCTCTTTCATTCGTTAACATATTGTCACGAAACTTTGCGAAAGTTCGATTACCGTTTAATAATAATACAGGTTGGCACGGAACAATCAGCATAAGTCTATAATTTTTACATTAGAAGCGCATTTGTATTTTGTAAACGTCTTTAAGTGTTACTTATCTATACTAATATTATAAAGCTGAAGAGTTTGTTTGTTTGTTTGTTTGAACGCGCTAATCTCAGGAACTACTGGTCCGATTTGACTTGATTGATTTGAAAATTCTTTCAGTGTTAGATAGCCCATTTATCGAAGAAGGCTATAGGCTAGATATCATCACGCTAAGACCAATAGGAGCGGAGCACCAATGAAGAATGTTTCAAAAACGGAGAAAATGTATTACTATTGAGAGACGCAGACGAAGTTGCGCGGGTCAGCTAGTTAATAATAAGTCTCTTTAGTCGTCAGAAGGCTTATTATACCGAATCAAGGAACCAAAGGCATGCTATCTTACTGAGGCAGGCGGTGTGCGAGTTGTCGTCGTCGAGCACGTGTCGCACGTGCGGCGGGTGCGGCGCGGGCGCGTGCTCGTCGCTGCCGCCCAGCTCGTCGCTGAACACCACCGGCGCCGACCCGCCCGCCTCCGCCACCAGCGCCGCCAGCATGCCGCCGCCCCCGGGCCCACCTCCACCCTGCTCAACAAGATCAGAAAGCATGTAACAATGCATGCAGATTTCATGTTTAATATGTGTATATCGGAGAAACCAAATCAATTTTGGGTTTTAGACAGAAATTTAGTTTTCAAACTGCAATTTTTCTCTATTCCAAAATCCCAACTGCAAATCTTGCAACTGGCACAACGGTCATTTACCCAGAAAATAATCTGTGAAACCCCTTACAAGATCTCACCACCATTTCATAGAATCCTGTTAAATCATCACAACTAAATTTAACAAGATTAACTAAATTTAACAAAATTTAGCAAGCTAATGGAAGCGAACGCCAAGTATCCCTAATAAGATTAAAGGATACTTGACGTTCGCTTCCATTAGCAGTGATATTTATTTGCCACAGTGGTGAAGTAAAAAGCACGCACCTGCGCAGCGGCGGGTGGCGGCGGTGATATAACGTCGGCTTCGCGTTGGTTCTTCGGTGATGTGTTAGGTTGTTCTTCTTCCTTTAGAGCTTTTGTTGACAGATTCTTCTTCAATTGCTAAAAAACAATATTACATTTTAAAAAAGGAACTGACATTATAAAAATAACACTGTTTGTTTTTCAGGGAACCAAAAAAGGTTTGTATTGTGTCGATGTAATTAAAATACCGATGTTTTGAAAAATATTCGTTATGCAAGCGAATTAGACTTTACTGTTGCTAGCAAATACATACTTTCTCAAGTCTTTATGGACTATTATTACTGTCGAGTTTGAGGACTTTGGAGTTTGCATGTCAATTAGCAACAATCGTGAAGCTTTGAATTCAGTTGCGATAAAAATAAAAGAAGCTTTCGCGTAAAGAGTACCGATAGATAATAGGTTATGGAAGCAAACAAATCTCAATATTTCAATATATCTCACACATCTCACACACTGTACTATGGTAACCAGACTGCTGATTAACATATATATATATTACAGATAAATTATATATAATATTTGTCCTGGGTGGGAATCGAACCCACGACCTCCGGTTTAGCAGTCAGGGTCACTAACCACTAGACCAATATCCCCGTCTAATGTCTAAGAACGAACTTTAAAAAAATAGTACCTGAAACAGGAAACTTGAATCTTGATTATGTGAATAGCACAAAATGTTTGAGTTCTGTAGGTACACGTGAACAGTAGGAGGTGGACTGACCTGGGTCTTGATGTAGGTGTCGATGAGGCCGAAGGCCAGGTCGCGGTTGAGCTTGGTCCAGGCGCCGCGCAGGTCGTGCACGGCGAGGCGGTGCGTGGGCGGCGCGCCCGCGCTGGCGCCCGCCTCGCGCCCGTACGACACGCGCCGCACCGACAGGCAGTAGCACTTCTCCATCACGCACGGGCTCAGCTGGCTGTACTGGAAACGCAACTTACTAGCTTTTAATCTGTGCTATAGACAGTTCAACTCAGTTGTGCGCGCGGCCCTATGTGTGCGTGGGCTTGTAAATATACAACTTTCATTCGTGTGGCAGTGACGCGGTGCTCGGACGACGACTGCCACACGAATGAAAGTTGTATATTTACACATAGGGCCGCGCGTTCAACTGAGTTGAACTATCTATAAAGGAATTTTAAAAGGAAAAAACAAGAGTCCTATAGTAATTGCATATGATATAACGTTCGCTCTTCCCCGAATTCCTGTTACACGCTTTCGTCCCTTTTCGTTAAATCGCTTACACAGATTGCAAGAAAGCGAGAAGAAATTCATTACACATTAAAAACATTTTTATCACAGTCAAGCAACGACATGTACATGTTAATTTCCGCTAGCTTTCATTAGCTTTGGTCAGTAATATTCAGAAATACCATACGTCATACACTAATATGTAATCATGAGATCAAAAAGTTACAACTTTTTATATCTGTCAATCTAGGTATTCCCATTTTAATATCTATCTGATCTAAACTTGGACAAAGAGATTATTAAATACTTTTTGTTTCCTACAAAGATAGTACAACACTACTACTGTTCTACCAGTTGTTTATTTTTTTTTAAATATACTTAATAACGTTTACAAAAAATGGATCTTGATAACTCCATTACATGTGTTTTTTTTCATTGATAACTTTTTAGAAAACACTTACCTCGTCACCTTCCTTCTCCTCGGCAGCCAAGGTCTTCAGCCATATCTCAGCGTCATTGAGATCACAGTTCATATAGACTGTAGTCCAGTTGGCCCGCGGCCTTCTGACCAAGCCGTCGTTGGTGGCCACCAGAGAGAGCTTGTGTTTGGAGCCGCAGGTGACGCGGACCCCTAACATCTCGATACCACGTTGGAGGGACGATGAAGACCAGTAGAACACCTATAATAAAAATAATAAAAAAAAAAAAAAATGTACCACATTCACACAACACTATCTAGTCCCAAACTAAGCAAAGCTTGTACTATGGGTACTAGACAACTAATATAAATACATATATACTTTTTTTTATAATAAAACAAGATTGTGATTGTAGGTAATTGTGGAAACCAGATGTGGGGGAAACTGAAACCAGCTGTTTTATCGGATAGCCTTAATATTTTGTCGATTGTCTTCTAACGTATTTTCTTTTGTGATAATATTAATATCATTTTACTATAGACATAAAACTTATCCTATGTTAGTAGAGACCATTTACAATATTTATGCACACCATGAGGGACGGCGCTGCAGTGACCAATATACCTATATTCTAACCTCTCTACAATCATGGCTCGTATGCTGTCAGAGCTAGGCCGCACCCTGCGCACCAAAGATGTACACCATTTTCGCATAGTAGTGTGAAAGCAGTCCACTCCGAACGTCCCGGATGCACTACAGGAGCGGAGTAGCCCCAACAGCACCCTTAACGCATTGTTGTATTGGATACGGAGCGAGTTGTACGCTTTTCGACTATATGTGGCCCCTTAACTGCACGTATGGCGTACGATGGCGTAGTGGTTTAAGCGGTCGCCACGCCGCTTTCTATTGCGCCGAGTGTTGTGGGTTCAAACCCCACATGGGATAACACTTTGTGTGATCCACAAATTGTTGTTCTGAGTCTGGGTGTACTTTGTGTCCGTTTCATGTATGTTTGTAAGGTCCCCCGCGACACAGGATTTATTCCTAGGAGTTGTCTTTTTAAAAAGAAAAGAAAAAGAAAAAAGAAACTTAAATATGTAGCCCATAGACTGCATGTATAGAAAGACATGTAGTAGGCTCTGAAAGGTGTGATCTTAACATTATTCGAAGATATTGTAACCCTGCGAGCCAACATGTTCACTCTCAATTTTGTATATGATTTGAGGCGTTAAGACCCTTATGACAACTCCTCTCAGACTGCGCATGACTCTAATAGTTTTTCCTATATTTAATAATTAAATAATTTGTTACCTGTAAGTTGTGTAGAGTGACAGACACGCTAACGTTGCGGTAGTGCCGCGACAACTGCGGTTTGCGCGGCCGCACGTTCTTGAAGATGCGCCCGCGCCGGGTCGGGCGCGTTATACCCGACAGGATCAATTTAAGGCTCTCGAACCACCTATGAAATATTACATTATTCAAGATTTTTTATTTTTTGTTCATGATCACAGCTCCACTTCTAAGCATCGTAGGGCTAGATGCTGCATAACCTATAATCTTCCTAAATGTATACTCTACTCAATAAAAACAAGAATTATTTAAAAAATTGGCAGATCTTGTGTTCAGGCTTGTTGGTCTCGTGGTTAATAACCCTGACTGCTAAGCCGGAGGTAGTGGGTTCGATTCCCACCCTTTTTTTCTGTGCGAAAATCCCCTCGGATACCACATACCGGTGGCAATGTCGGACTCGAACCGACTAAAACCGCACGCCGTCTCAGGTACCAGTAGTAGGGGAACCAGGTGTACTATAGAAAGGAAATTCCTGGTACCCGACATACCTCGGGTCATCTACGGCCCCCCCCCCCCCCTGTGTGGGAACCCCCATGTTCCCTCTGTGCTCCCGGAAGGGCGCTCGCGCCTCTTGTTCTGTGTCTGGGTGTAATTTATCTATGATATGTATGTATTTAGTAATATATAATTATGTTTATCAACAGTCTGGTTACTATAGTACAGGCTCTGCTTAGTTTGGGATCAGACGGCCGTGTGTGAGATGTGTGAAATATTATTATTTGTATGACTCAATCACACTGTCTTACAAATTAAATTTATTTTCAACAATTTTTTTTTTTTAAATAAATACGAAAATTTTATATGGTTATTATTTACCTTTACACAGTTTGTTAAATTAAAAAAAAATAAAGAGCAAAACCTACCTTAGAGTGCTTCCGTATAATAAGAGGACTGGACCACTACCATCCTTGTCCACCGGTTTCGTCTCCATACTGAGGTGTAGGTCGAGACCTTGGGAACGAAAGGCTCTGTACGAATCGTGTTCCTATCAGACAAACAAAAAATCATAAAAACATAAAATTATAAGGTCTCTTTTTTCTCAGTCATAAAATCCATAAATAAATGAACAAACAAACAAACCCCTAAATGTACGAGAAAAAATATATTTATACATAATTTTTTACATGGATGTGGTTTCTAAAAAAAATAAAAAGAAAGAAAGGTGAGGCCTATGTCCAGCAGTCGACTAGTAAAGGCTGTTGATGATGATGATGATGATGATGTGGTTTCTTAAAAACTTTGTATTAGTTAGGTATTAGTGAGTGTTAGTTAGTAGGTATTAGTAGAGCTTAGTAGCTAGTACCTATGATGCGATATTCGGAAGTTTAATAACTTATTAAACAAGTTTATGGTTACAAAGCTTCTATGTCTAAATTAATAAGAGATGTTACATTTAAAATTCTTATATTATCTAATAAAACTCTATATAAAACTTTAGACACCTGACGCTGATGCAACAGGTCGCTCCACCCTTTGATACAAGACCTCTTTCAAGCCCGATAATCCATTGATCCCCTTTTAACTACATTTATTTAATATCCATGAAAAAAAAGTCATAATGCCCTTGTAAGATTAATATAATTACAATTAATTAACATCTAATATATAAAATTCTCGTGTCACGGTGTTAGAAGTTGAACTCCTCCGAAACGGCTCGACCGATTTTAGTGAAATTTTAGGTAGGTCTGAGAATCGGCCAACATCTATTTTGCATAGACCAAACTTTTATTTTTTTGACAAAAAAAAATGAAATAATGTATATGGCAAAACAACGTTTGCGGGGTCAGCTAGTAACTCTATAAAAACCTACTTCTCCTCTCATAACATATTGGTATTGTTCGATGCAATAATTACGATCGAACACCTTTTGCTGATCTAGCAACCTAACGCGGTCGCCTTAAGTGCGCGGCGACATCAGTGCATATTCGGACAGCAACCGGGCCGCAAAGGCTGCTAATGTGAACTCTTGCTGGATAGATAGAACATCGATCTCCTTTTCTAATGTGTTTGTGATACGGTCTAAATAATTTAGGTGATTATTAATAATCTTGTGCTGTTTAACAATAGACTCCTCTGATCTTTTTAGTATGTTGTATTCTACTTCTATGACCGACGTTTGCTTTCTATATAACTGAATGAAATGGGTCATGTTGCTACGTACGAGGTCAATGTCCCGCTGGTACTTTTCCGCAAAGTCCTGATCAAGTATACCGAACAATTTGTTAGATATCGTACCTACTGCGTTAATAAGTCCGCGACGAGTCCGAGGTTGTCCTAGGTGCTGATTCAACAACAGCTGGTTATAATACTGAAGTTCGTTGTACTCGTGTCGTATTTGAAGGATAATGATATGACAATGACTTTGATCTTTAATTTTATCGCAGGTTTGCTCGAGATATTTCGTAAATTTTGTTACCGCATTGTCTCCCTGCCAAAAAGGAGACATATCGTAATAAGTTACCATCTTCCAACTATCCCTAATAAGCTGCATTTTGCCCAGAGGATCGAAATATAATGTTTGATTACTATTAAATGATGTAAAGTTATAAGACGCTTCAATAGACAGTACGATATTCATAAAGAATAAAAACGTTAGTGCTAGGCTAAATATCGAATAACAATTGTTAACTCGCTTTATTTTATTCGCTAATTTATCGCTTTGTTGCTTAATTGCTTCTGTATTTTGTTGATATTGTTTACTCGTGTCGTTCTCCGCTATGGGTAAAAGAGATAATTTTAATATAGGACGTTTAATGTAACCGTTTTTGGTTTTTAAGGTCACTACCCTGACAATGCCATCCTTTCCTGGATGGACCTCTACCACTCGCCCGATAGGCCATTTACCAGAAGGAAAGTTGTCATCGTGAATAGTTACCATGTCACCTACTTCGAGATTCTTTTGGGTTTTTAACCACTTGCTGCGTACAGATAACTGACTGAGATATTCGGTTTTCCATCGTTTCCATAAATCTTGGAACATTTTTTGGACCATATACCATCTTGTTCTAGCATCTTGAGCAGTTTCTATGACTGTTAACCCCGCACGACTTGTAAGAAAATGTGCTGGGGTGAGAAAGTCTATATCATCGATATCCTCAGATAACGAACATAATGGCAAACTTGAGGAGAGACACTTACATGTCAGCAAGCCATAATGATCTACAAATCTGTGAATATCAAGAAGATACTTACCTTTGCCATATGCATGGGCCCGTCATGAGCTTGAATTTAGAAGAAAAATTCTGTGAAAAGACAGACTCATCTACTTGTAATATGATAAAGACAAGCTGTGAAAATAAATGGATTCGTTTACACGACCTTTCTACCTATTTTTACTTCTGTTGTAACTCATACTCTATAAAGATCATATGCGACAATGAAATACAAACGCGCCAAGTCAGCAAGGCCGGTATAATTCAGCTTACAAGACAGTGCATTGCTAAAGGTCATGACGTAACACTGTACGCTTATCAGCAACCAGAGAATACGGTCAATCTTAAGTTAAATATACTCGATACAAAGTTTACGCCCTTTAATAATTTAATCCATAACCTTACGCTACCTTTCCAAAATATAGAAACATTTACAAGTGAGAACTCACATATGAACGATTCTTTAAAGCAACTCGGTGACAATATAAGATTGTTGAAAGAATCAGAACAGCAGAACGACGGCCTGACGACACATGACATACATCACTACACTGTGTCGTATGGGCTACTAGTAGCAGCAATGGGAGCAGTCCTGTGGTTCCTGTGGAGGAGGCGCAGGCGCAACGCCGCGCCACATCGAGAACACGTCGAGAGCGTGCCCACGAGCGTGAGTGTGTTTGTAAACCAAACTGAGCAAAGTTCTAGTGTCAGTGCGGGAGATCCAGCCCCCTCCGACAAAGAGTTTAATGTGTGTAATAGTGCGCGTGAACATAGTTTTTCAAAAAGGTGGTCTAGTTTACGTCTAAAAAAGCGAGATATGTCCACGTCCCCTATCGCGAAAAGACAACCTGTATTCTTACATGCTGACTCAACCGTTTGAGTACAGATTTGTAACTAGCTTATAAGATTTTATTGTTCCATCATCTTGTAAATCATTTATCATCTAGCATTGTCCTAACATTCATTATCAAAACTCACCCTCACGTACATCTTAATATTGTAATATGTAGCTTATCTCATCTTATCTTCTCCCCTCGGGAGCATGTTCGATGCAATAATTACGATCGAACACCTTTTGCTGATCTAGCAACCTAACGCGGTCGCCTTAAGTGCGCGGCGACATCAGTGCATATTCGGACAGCAAACCGGGTGCATTCGTAACTATTAGCAGAGCATATAATCGTCCATTAGCATTTTAGCATAGCTTAGTACCGTTATACTTTTTATAATAATAAACCGTGATAGAGTTATCGAAGTCTTTAATTTAGCATCGAGCTTAGCAGCAGCCCATCGCACGTAGGAAACGTATCCTACAGGTATTATATGTTATGAGAGGAGATTTAATTACCTGATTACTGGAGTATTCAGGTAGTCTTGTGGGCCCACAAGGCGCTACGGCGTGATGGTCGCGCGGGTCGGCAACACACTGCCAACCCAACTTCACTGACAGCCTCAGTGCAGGCACCCGCAGGACTCTACAGTCGTCGTATTTGCTCGCCGTGCGGACGTATACGTCTAACGTGCCCAAGAACCCAAGTTTACCTGTGAAATGTCATTTATGAAATAAGCATCACTATTGTAATATATACTTTAAGAAAAAACCGTAATTAACCTAAATAATCTAACAACAAAATAACCTAACTAATATCTAAATAATTACACTACCGACGGGAAGTTGAAGGCTTGTTAGCGACCAAGACCATATATTAATAAAATTTAATTATTATATCAACTGTCTATAATCATTTTGAATAAGAGTAATGTCCCTGTGATCTAAATAATATAAGCAATGTAAATTTAAAATAAATAAATTTACCAAACTTGGCGTGTTTTAAGGCGAGGTTGCAGCGATTTTGCACTTTTTTGAAGAGAAAGAAATACCCTAATACGCATTTATTGTGCATAAAAATAAATAATTTTTAAAAATTAAACATATAATCTAGAGATCTGTAAAGATGGAAACATGATTTATGGAATTTGGCTCGATAAAAAAAAATCACAAACATAGCACTAACTCACGATTTCAAATAGAAATTGTTGTAAAATGCCACCATGGATTCACGTAAAAATTATACCAAAAAATAGAGCTTATTTTTTTTTAGGGATTTGTAAGGATACATTTTCACATAGTTGTACTTATAAAAAAAGGAACCAAAAAATATGTTTTTGCGCTTGCTTACGGCGGCGAAGTTCGCCTGTCAGAGCTCGCTGAGCCTTGTTTGAGGTCGGACGCACGTCATTTTGCTCCGTGAAATTCCCCCACGCAAATACGTAAAATTCGTTTTCACAGAGCTTCAACAGAATACTTATAAGTTAATTTTAATAAAATTATTCCTTCTATTTTATTAGTAAATTATTTCCGTCTACAATGTTCATAAAACACAAAAATGGTAAAATTTTACAAACACATAAATTTCACTGAGCCACAGTCTAAAAAAATCAGTATGCATGTGAGTACGGTAAATAAACAGTATTCATTGGTAGTATAGAAAGAAGGTAATCAGAAAATGTTATTAGAAATCTCTAATTTTGGTATAGTCAGGCACATTTAAATTATGTGGAATTCAACAGTAATATAAGTTTATTTACTGTTATTTTGCAGCACTTCGATGAGACAAAGCATATTCACAGGCGTGGTTGAGACCCTACAGAAATCAATTTCTATTGAGCATAGTACTACGTTAGTTTTTGTATTTATATAAATGGAATATCTGTTTTTTTTTTTTAGTTTTGTCGTGTAAAACTAGACAATGACACTATTCTCAGTAAACAAGAAAACTTTCTTAGGCGCTGCTGCTATTATTGGCAGAAAAACAGGTGCGGTCTTGTACATGGGTGTAAAAAATAAATACTGTTTGGTTTGTAGCCGGGCTAGTAAAAATAACAACGACTCCAGAACGTAAATGCTTCAAAAACTTTGATGGTCATCTACCTCTATGGAAGCAGATATAATTGCGGAGGGTTTTAAAACATCTGTTGCTATGTACGGAGTAATATATCAAAGTCTTATAGCAGATGGTGAATCTTCCACATATGTTAAAATTTTAAAGGTGAAACCCTATAAAACACAGAATTTGACTGTTGAAAAAATAGAATTTCCCAATCATATTTTACGAAATTTTTGTAAAAAGAAGCGGAACCTTGCCAAAGAGACAATTTTTTTCTAGTTGTATAGAAAAACTTTAACGAACCAATAAATAATGGCTATGAGAAAATTAATTATTCGGTCGAAAAAATATCACCACCAGTCTGATGTTCCGAAAAACGATGCCGTCTCGGTACTTCTTAAAGGTATAACATATTCAGTTGAATACGCTTACGGAGATCATAGAATGTGCCATGATTACAACTGTGAGCATGATGGAGTAAAAGGTGACATTAGGCAAAAAACGGAATAGTACATTTTTATTTATACTGAATGCCATTGTTGCAACTGTGGCTGGGAAATCAAGAAGTTTAATTGAAAATGTTGAAACCAACACGGTCAAAAGATTTAATAATGTTATAGCTAAATTTGTCGGTGGGAAAAGAATTAATTTTGCTCTCAGATGCGGGTACCAAGGAAGATGTGCAGTAGCAGTCGTATCTTTTATCAGGATTGCCGCCATTTCAGCTGAGCAAAAAAAAAAAATGTTAAATAGAAGTCCTTCAAGAAGAGTTTTAAAGTACATCGAAAAAAAAGGGCCCATAAACGTAAATTGGATTTGGAACACCCAGTAAAAAAGATACGTAGATTTCAAAATGACGACTATGGTCAAGCTAGGTCGGGCACCAGATATGTCAATGTTTGTTTTGGAGCGAAGGAAAGCTAGTTATTTAAACAAATTAATCAATCTTACAGCAGACAGAGATCATATTGAAAGATCGATCGTACTACAAAGGGACTCGAGTGAGTGGCTTGAAATAAGAAAAAAAATAACAGCTTCGAATTTAGAAAATATTTGCAAGAAGAAACACTCTACGGATACATCTTCTTTGGTAAAATATATTTTGTACAAAAAGAATTTGTCGCAAGTGACCTCCGTGAGTCATGGGATTGAAAATGAAAAGCAAGCCATACAACAAATTCAGCAAGAAAACCAATTTAAAATTTAAGCATGTGGACTTTTTATTGATAAGCAATACCCATTTATTAGAGCTACACCTGATGGCTTGATTGGGAATGATATGTTGGTTGAAGTGAAATGCTCATTAGTGGCTGCCAAAGAAGGATTGCAGCAAGAACTAGAAAATAATAAAATTCAGCTGCTCCGCTACAAAAAAAAAATTGATAACTGGTTTCATCAAATTCAAGGTCAGTTACATGTCACAGGACATTGAAAATGTCTTTTTGATTTGTGGGTATCATAATATGAACCAGTGTTTATAGTATATTGAAAAAGACGACGAATTCTGCAAAGAAAAAAATGGAACCAAGGTTGGTTAAATTTTATCTGTAACGAAACGCATTATTGTAAGCTAACTATGCTGTGCGAATAGGAACGCCCGCTTGCCTATTGCGCTTTAACATGATTGATATAAAACTTAAGAAAGTTTAGAATAAAACCTCCGCCTCAATCATCATCTTTTATTAAAGTTATGTGAATTATTCAACTTATGTTGTGTGTATTTTTAATTAAAGCCTGTATTATGGTACCCAATCTGCTGATAAACTCATGAAGTAAGAAAAATTTGTAGAATAAGGTATTAAAAGAAAACGACGGGTTGCACACCGGGAGTGCCGGCAGAAGTGAAAACTTTAATATTAACATTGTGCATTTTTGATATTTTGGAATGGTTAGGGAATAATTTTGCATGAATTAATTTAATTATCGGTTTAAAAGTACTATCATTTATGTGGTAGAATACAATATTTATTTATTGCGCTATCGTACACTAACATGACAATTTATATTACATTAAAAAGTTTATCTCTCAGAAAAACGAACATTCGCGCAAGTGCCCTGCGCCGCCTAAACGAAACAGCAGGCGCAGGCATACAGTTGGGGCACCAGGGACTTCCTTTCTAGGGTATACCTGGTTCCCCGGCTATTAGTACCCGAGACGGCGTGCGGTTTTAGTCGGTTCGAGTCCGACATGCCACCGAGAGGTGGTATCCGAGGGGATTTCCGCACGGAAAAAAAAAAGGCGCAGGCATACATTTTCGCCGCGCCGTAGAAAGAGAGGGGGATACTTCCTCTCCTACGCTGCGCCGACTGTCTACTCTCCATCCTTCTTACGAATTTTCAATCAGGTCACGTGCCCTGACGCGAGTTTAACATTTATTAATCATTACAAAAAAAGTGTACAACACCGCTAAAGAAGTTTTCTCTTCAAAAACATCTATTGCTTATGAGATTTTGAGTAAACAAATTATATATGTAGGAAGTAATGACCTAATATCCTATAACTAATAATTAATAAACCTTAGTTCGCCTTTTTAAACGGTCATTTAATTTCAATATTTTTTTAATTTCGTGTATACCTATTTTAGTAGAAAGCTAACACACAGGTGAATAACAAAAGTTTAAAAGTGCTAAAGCCAATTAGAATTATATACGTCAAACATGATATTCTTTTTTAACTACTGCATTACGAGTACGCTACACTGTGGCACAATATCTGGACGTAACTTTGAGTGGCGCGCAGCCGATTCGCGCAGCTTTTTGACATGCTGCGTCTTTGCGTACGATACGTTAGCGGGGGGTGAGGTAATGTTTGCACACCTACACACCGCGCTGCAAGAGCGCCTTAATTCAATATTGCAGAAACAAAGTAAACAATGTCAAATACTTCCACAGATATTAATAGTCCTAGTACAGAAGATTCACTTAGTTAAATCATTTAAATAAATTGCGACTCTTGCTCCTACTCAATAAAGTTCAATTTAGAATGAATAGCGTAGATCGCGTGCAAGTATATTCACCCCGATTTTAGATATGAATTATTAATTAGAATTTACAATCATACAATAATTTTTCTTATACGAGTTACTGTTGATCAATTAAATGGAACAAAATGAACATTTAAATCTTAACCTTATCTTGATTAGAAAAGAAACATATACCCAAACTAGAACAACATTAATTTTTGTAACCTATATTGACCTGCAGAATCTACATAACGCGATTCACTACCACACCGCCATCTATCGAATCTATACTCAAAAATCCTCCACGACTTCCTTATTATACAAAGGGTCCATTACCAAACACACACATCACTACACGACCCTCTTTACCAATAGACTTACAATGAAATAGACATACCATTAGTCCAGTCCAAAACCAAATCACTCCAGGTTACTTCCATCTCTTCAGTGGTGTTGTAAGGATCCAGCGAGACATGAAGTAGACAAGTGAACTTGGTACAATTTACCGTAAGGCGCCCGTGCATTATGAGACGCACTTTGTCCCACCAGGACAATGGCGCTGAGGGGTCTAAAGATGGCCGGGAGACTTGGTCAAAAGCTGTGGGCAATTTGATTTGTGGTTAATGATTTATAGGGTAATGATTTATTTGTAAAAAGTGATAAAGATAAAAGACAAAAAGAAACAGAATAT